TTTCCTAATTTTTGAAGCACTCCTATACTGGGTATTAGGGGCAAAATAGAAAACACTAATGAAGAATACAAAAAAATAAAGCAGAAATGATACCAAGATATATAGGAAGAGAGTTAGTAGATGTCGCGTGCTGAAGATCCTCAAGAACCTCTTCTACAAAAGCTGCTGTTGAACTTTCCAAAGCTTTGTTTTTCTTGTTTAGACTATGAACTTCATTCTGTAATAGCTATTTTTTCTGCGAGCATAGTGCATACGTCATCATTATCTTTTACAGAAACTTCATTTTGAAAAGGCAGGCACGACGCAATGAATTCATGTCTGCAAAAGCCAGAGCTAAAGTTTACTAACAGTTGTCTTGAGATATGGAATTTGCTAACAGAAAGAGGCTGTCCCATATTAAAGATACAAAACTCTCCGTTTGCATTTCTACACATATAAAAAGTGTCACATAGTTTAAGAATATTAGCACCTTGTGTTATTGATACTTACAAGTATCTCGTCGCACCTCCTTGTTAGATAACAAATCTTTTCATCCAAATGTTTTAGAGAGGTCTCTGGATCAGCTAAAAACAAAGACAAGAATTCAGAGGAAATTATAAAAACAATGAGAATAAAAGTCAATCACCAGTTCATCACTATTTAAACAGCGTACGTAGAAAAAGTTTTCTGTATGTGTTTCATATCCAAAACAACTAATATTGTTATTGGAAGTTCTAAATTTAGTTTTAAGCTCATATTTAGAGTAGTAAAGTAGAGGATCGTAAAATATATTAAAAAAGAATGTGAAAGCAAGTAATTTGACAGCTGGGAAAAAAATGAATTACCAAAAAAAGAAGAAATAGATTATAATTAATGCTACGCAAAGCCTCTATAAATACCATAAACTCTCATGAAGCCATCGATTTCAAATTGCAGTCTATACGAAGTTCTCATCAGCTCCGATTCTCGAGTAGTCAAAGCACTTTCAACTTCCGTACTTGTTGCCTGAATGTCGCCTCAATTTCTTCGTTAACCTGAATGAAATTTCATTGAATAAGCTACTTACTTAGTTTATACTTTGTCATTCACCTAAGACATACAAACACATAGACACATACACACATATACATGTATATATACACACACACCAAAACAAAATACAGTGAATGAGATAAAACTGCGTGGAAACACCTGATGAAGCATATCCTTGAGCGAAGACATCTGACATAGAATTGCAGCTGAGTGTTCACTTGCTTCAGTTCTCATTCCTTCCTTTGTGTTTTGTGGATGCTCTCTTAATTTGCCGCGCTTTTAAGAGATGACACAGGAGAAGCCGTAACCAACGGGGATTCAAAATCTTCATTTACAACTAATGCACAGGAAGGCCAATTTGCACACACGTACTATCTGTTGGAAATTTTTCTTGTATAGTATTTGCTTTCAAGTATGCGGAAGAGATCAATTGCACCTATTTCAAGAAGACAAAGGAATGATAAGCACAGAATATTATAGAATTTTTTTAATTAAGCTAAAGAGATCAATTGCACCTATTTAGGAAGCTCATTAATGGAAATTCAGTTTTAGTAATCTATAAATATCAAAATTGCAAGTGAAGATACACACATAAGTACAGAATATTCAGCAAAAGTCCAGTTTTGTAAAGAGCTAACCATATGATCAAAACCGAAAAATCTGCCAGCTACAAATCTAGAGCAGTACCACTAAGCCCCAGATAATATCTGAAGATATAATAAAGGAAGAAAAATTGAATACTGAAACAAGACATTGCCTAAGGAAGCAGAAGAATGGAGTTGCAATAAGGAAGGATCATGTTTTCTGATCTAGTCTATTAATCAACACTTCTTGTTCATATTTTCGAAATCTACGCTATTGTAAAGTTAGTAGCTATTTCATATTTGATACAACTGATTTAGATCATTTCATCTAGTTGTGCGAATCAGGAATGCCATTTCAAATTTCCGTTGATTTCAATGTTTAACAGGTCAATCAATGGAAAAGTTGTCTTTCAACCCAACACTCGTCGAGACTCGGTGTTGATGGGTGTTCCAAAAAAGCCTAAATGCCTCTTTGTGATACAAGTACTCAAAAATCTTCAAAACAAGAAGACCTAAGAAGGTAGGTAGACCTTAAGATGTTGTGAATAGCAAGTATTAGCTGCATATCCTGTGTATGAATAGAGACCGTCCGCTGCATCTCTTGTTGTATGTAATAATGAGAGAAGATATTATTTTTAGCTAGTATACAGTAGCAGCAATTGTTAAATCCATCCATTCAAGAAGAAAATTACAAACCTAATAGCCGGTATTGCGCCCAAGTTGTGTCATACCTTGGCTTCTGATAGTACAACGGTCAATTTATAAGATAGCAGCTGCCTGAATGATTTCTTCGTATACTACATTGTGTGTTGTATGATCGTCATTGCTATCAAATGTTGGCGGTCGGATCAATAATTTCACAGAATTCGAGTTTTTTGCTCGGGATAAAGCAACATAAAGTTGACCATGCGAAAAAACAGGCTCTCGTAAATAAATTCCAACAAAATCTAACGTCTGACCTTGAGCTTTATTTATAGTCATAGCAAAACATAATCTAATAGGGAATTGTGTTCTTTTGAAAGGAATAGGTAGTTTTTTATCTTGTGATGATAACAACGGTATTCTCGGAATAAATACATGTGTATTTTTTAAATCCCCACTTGCAATTTTAGCGCTTATAGTATTCTTTTCAAAATAACAACATACAAGTCGTGTACCATTACATAAGCCTTCGCACGGATTTAATTTTCGCAATAACATAACAGGATAATATTTTTTCAAAGTTAATTTATAGGAGGTAAACCGGCAGGGTGTAAGCTATGCAAAAAATCTTCATATTGACTTTGATCATTCGTTTCTGTAGTTTCATCAAATGCAACATATGTCCTAGAATCACCCAATAATTGACTTATGAGCATATCATTTATTTCATCAACGAAGTCATTTTTTGTTGTCAGAATAACACGAGAAGTTGTAGAAGACATATCACAAGGAGATGCATAAAAATCTGGATAAGTAACTCTAAATAAAAGATTCTACGATTCGTTTTCACTAATAAAAGGAACAATGAAACAATTAGGCATTTCAATCTTACCTTGTGAATTTGTTTTTTCTTTTCCGCTCCCTATTTTCATCAAATATTCACAAAAAGCAGGATCTGTTCTCGCTCGCATATTTACTGATAAACGCAATTTTTCGAGTTGATTCCAAATGTCAGAACATAGCAAACTTTCTTGTATGAAGTCCTCCTTTTTTCCACTACGAACAACTGGAAGAGTTTGTCTAAAATCACCACCAAAAATAACTACTTTTCCACCAAATAATATCTTCGTATCCATCAGATCTTTCAATAGTAAACCAAAAGCCTCTATCAATTCTTTTTTGGCCATTGATACTTCATCCCATACAATTAATTTGGCATCTTGTATCAATGATGCAAGCGAACTTTGTTTACTAATATTACATGAGAATTGTCCATCAATATCAATAGGAATTTTAAAACGGGAGTGAGCGGTTCGTCCTTCGGGAAGAATTGAAGCTGCAACACCAGAGGTTGCTGTTGCTAAAACTACAAATCCTTTTGATCGTATAGCAGCAAGTAATGCACGGTACAAAAAAGTTTTTCCTGTTCCTCCAGGACCATCAATAAAAAAGCTCCAGGTTTATTTTTATATATTCTATCAAGAATTATATTATATGCTTCTCGTTGTTCACTATTCAATTTTGCTTCCAACAACAAATCTTCTTCTCCAATAATTATATTTCTTTCAAAATGACAATCCTGAGCCTCTTTAGCAGCTGATGAAGTTAAAATTCTTTCAGGTACAAGTATAAATTCATTTATGTCATGACCAATTGAATGTAAAATATCATTAATATGGTTTAAAGTCATATGACGAATCTGTTTCTTGTTCAAAATTTGGCATAATCTTAAAGTCTTCAGACATAGAACCTTCAAATTGGTCCCAAAGTTCTTTCAGATTAGAAGGATTACAATACACCAACAACGTAGCAAATAAACGTCTTAAACTATAAGGCATCTGATATCTTACAGCTTCTGACATACAGTCAACCAAGTTATTGTCGCATTGTAATAATCCTTTTTTTTTCTGTGGCTTCTCTAAATGTACTGCAACATACTCCATTTACAGTTAGCAAATGTTGATACGATTTTGGTCCCCTAATATACATTAATAACAATCGAAGATAGTATCTTTCTCCCTCTGTAGGATGACATGTCACAATACGTCCAATAACAGTACCCCGTTGTCGACGTGTCCACATCCTATATTGTTTGGACCATACAAAATATCCTGGAAATTCCTTGTAAAGTAACTTTAGATACTTAGCATCTTTGTTTTCTCTGTTCATCAAAAAAAATTCTGTCAACATTGTTTTTCTAATCATAGGATTACTTACAATTGCATTTATGGTCTGTGTGGTTTTAAAAGAGACAAATTGTTGTCCTTCAAGATGTAGCTGAAGATGGTAAATAGCTAGGCTCATTTCGCTTATGGGAGAACCAAATAAACGCCAAGTTGCCTCCGGCGGCGAAACCCATCTAGCGGATTGATATTGTTTGATCTCATCTATTTCAATATTTGGATCATCAGCATGTACAAAAAAGCAATTTTATCATGTCCCTTGCAAATATATTTATAAAGATATTTGACAACTTTAATATCAGAACAAACTTCAACATTAATATGACAATTAAATTTGCTTAGTAGATATGAATTGTAAGGAACCACCCAGGAGTTATCAAGAAGGTGGCCTCTAATATTTACAACTTTGCCGGTATTTCGTCTTTGATATATTGGATACCCATCTTTTTCCTTTGATGTGTGATCAGCAAATTCCTTTGGATATTCAAACTTACAATATCCTTTTTTTCTGTACAAGGACATTTAGGATTAAGCTACCACAAGGTCCATGCATCATATGTTTAGTAATAAGTGTATACAATTAATTATTCGTATCACGATCAGGCAATTCAGCACAAACAATTTTATCATAAGCTTCTGGAGTTAACAATTTATATTCGTTGTTGAGTATGATAAGAAAATGAGCATGTGGAAGATCGTGCTTCTGAAATTCAATAGTGTACATAAAAGCAGCAACTCTTCCAAATATGTTTCTCTTTAGTATATCTGTTTTATCTCTTCTACCTTTTCTCTAAACACTCGACTAAGTAAATCAAGCCGATTTTATACCTCATCTGTTACCAATAAATGTTCTTCTATTTCAGGCCAAGATGGATTACATGTCATTGTCAAAAATATATCAGGTTTTCCAAAATGTTGCACTAACGCAATAGCGTCCATATATCTTCGACGCATATCTCTAGGACCTCCTACAAAACTCGCAGGAAGAAAACTTTGTTTACCAATATTTGATGCATCTCTCTCTCCGTGTCTTAGAACATCAAGAAGCCCTGCTGACGCATCAACTCGAAATAAATCTTGATTAAGTGAATAGAAATCTAACCTTTGAGTCTCAAGCTTGATGAATTGATCGACTGAGTACTGTTGAAATGCTCTCCCAGCATGTAAAACTCCATTTTCTTCGTCATCCCTCATTTGAAGCTTATAGCAGTAATACTCACGGCAAGATACAGTATTTCTTTTTTGTTTCTTTTTTTGCAGAACTTCTGCTTCCATATCAAGAAGCATGTCAATTGAGCACATATTTTCTACACTCGGAAGTTGCTCATGTTCATAATAAATTCCGGTACTAACAGTATTGTTCGTTCGAATAATCTTTTTAATACCACAGTGCCATCCATTCTGTCCATAAGGAAATAGTAATGGATACTGCAACGGATCATAACAGCTGTAATAATAATTTACTAATTGGCTCTTACAACTATGTGTATAAATTCGAATGTGTGGTAAAGAAATATTGGAACTACTCTCATCTTCTATCCATATTGCTGCTACTTCTGACGATGTTGGTAAGTTGTATGTTCTTTGATCTAAACCAGAGTCAGACTTCAGCGCAATATAGAAGTTGGTTAATTCTGAAATATCTGTTAACGATTTCAAGAAAATGCAGTATGGGTTCATTTTTAATGTGTCCATCAAAGTTCTGATAACTGATTCATTAAGCTTGTCAGAGATGCCATCCGATTTGCTACCTCATTATTTGTATCGTAGAAATACAACTGCAGATTTTTAGCCTGTTGACTCGAGGGCACCAAGTCATCTATAAAATGATACATTTTTCCTTGAACTCTAAATGTATAAATACCGCGATTCCTTCTCGCTAAATCTCTGTCATATTTCACTTCAAGAGAAGTAAATGCGAACATGTTATTATACATTCTAACATAAGTGCGAAAATTTCCACATTCCTCAGAGTTTCCTAAATAAAGATTTAGCAATTCAGCAGGCATTCCATAGTGAATCAACTTCACTGAACCATTGTCACAACAAAATCCTGGTGGTTCATATTCAAATCTTTTGGCTCTACAAAATTCACAGTTTGATATAGGTTTGAGTCTGAAAGAGCTATTAGGCAATTCATTAGTGTTGCAACGACCCAATATTTTAGGTTTACAATCTGTATATCTCAAATTTTAGCGAAGGAAAATATATCAGTTCAGGGGGAAAAATGACTAAAATAGTTTGGAGGGCAGATGAAAACAAACCTTTCTTTGCTGTTGTATACGACGCAATGTTGTATTGTTCGGTGCACGTTCTTGAGCTGGATCCTAACATATAATGAGTTATCACATAAGTCTGGATATGTAAAAAAATTTACAGATAACACCACTGTTCCAGGCTTACCAACTTCAAAAATGTAGGAGCTACTACCTATATCTCTGCCATCATCAGAAATAACAGAAGCGTCAACTGAGTGCACATTTGCTTAGACAAACAAAGAGAAAACAAGTCAAGTCACATCACATTGATGTATGGACATATAAACTAAAACATACATATATAAGAAGCAAGTTAATAACTTAAAAACTAATATTGTACTAACTTGTTTCCAAGAGGGAAGATGAGGCTCCTCTTACACCAACTGTATTCTCGATCTGCTCATTGCTAAATTGGCAGGAAGTTGGTACCTCCATGGAATCATCAATAGGATTATCTGTTGTAGAATGAAGGTATACCGTTCGTCGTTGCATTAAGTTTAATTCTCTTTTGTCCGCCGACCTCTCTCAATATATTTCACGGCGTCTCTGTTTTATTTTGACCCCTCTTTCTTCAGAGCACTGACGCTTCCCTTTTTTTGATGGCATTGAATCAATAGTTTTTTCAAGCCTAGACATCTTTTTATAGTCACAAAACTTGATCGCTGCCGAAAAAATAAAGAAACTTCTGTTAAAGTTGCTAAATTGCATGCATGAGAAATTACTACAACTCATTTTGATACACTAGTAAATTTACTCTAACAAGAAACTAATATCAGCCCTTTATTGATCCACCCTCTCCCCTAATCATCATAAGGCTAAAGAAACCAAAATTGACGACAACGTATGCCCATGTTGGTCAAACTAACAATTTTCTTTTCAAAGGCATCCAACTGAATGAATGAACTCTGGTATCCAGAGATAAAGAAAATGTAGATTTTTCTGAGATGACCTATATCATCTTGCAAGCAGTAGCTATGATATAAATTAGCCCAAGGAAAATGAGAACAAAAGCCATTGATACTCCTCAGGACAACAGAGATAAAAATAAATCACAAACACTTAAAAAATAGAGAAGACAGAAATATGCATATCAAATTTAATAGAAATGGTAATTCATTGAAGAATTTATTCAAACACCTAGAAGAGAAGGCATTGGTAGTAATTTTATACCTTCAAAAACCACCACTAACTATTGGCACGTCTAATTGCCAAAATAAAAGCTAAGTAAACTAATACTGGAAAATAACTTGCAAAACTCAGCTAAAAGGGGAAAATCAGAAAACGGCATATCAAAAGATTAAACAAAAAAGAGTCAAAATACTATGAATTAACAGGGGATTAGCCGATTTACAACAAACTTTGAGTCTTAGATTAGAACTCACCGTATCTTTTTTTATAATAATTACCTTCAAATAAGTAGAAAATTCGAAATAGAACTTCTCAAGCAGCAGTTGCTATAACCCCTGATTAGCAAAGGCTGTGTTCTTCAGAGAAACCCAAGAGGAAAACCAAACAAAATACCAAAAGAAGATCGTTCAATCGAGCAGACACGGCAACTTAAGCTCCAAGTTCACAGAGAAAAAGCTAAGGTAATCCAAAAATAAAGTTCTGGAGAGGAGAGTATCCGTAGGCTTATAATTTTCTGTACTATATGGAATTACTTTGCAGCTGTCAAAAGTAATCTACGTGTTGCGTTGTAAATGTAATGAGTCAGCGCAAGATGTAAAACCTGTCACTGTTAGAGCTAAAGTAGCAGTAAAAGGTCAAAAGTGGGCTTTGAAAATACCTAAAAGGTTTACTGTATTCCTATTTACAAAATGGTGTGATGGCAGTTGATGTAATAATGTTGAAAAGCAGGGGCAAAAATATTATGGCTGAAGCTGCCATGTCGACGAAGAGCTATACGGAATTACTTTGTAGGTGTCAAAAGTAATCTGCGTGTTGCGTTATAAATGTAATGAGTCAACACAAGATGTAAAACCTGTCACTGTTAGAGCTAAAGTAGCAGTGAAAGGTCAAAAGTGGGCTTTGAAAATACCTAAAAAGTTTACTGTATTCCTATTTACAAAATGGTGTGATCGCAGTTGATGTAATAATGTTGACAAGCAAGGACAAAAATATTATGGCTGAAGCCGGCATGTCCACGAAGAGCAGGCTGCTTCAGCTGCTCCTACGGTGCTTCTTATATAGGAGAATGGGCGGTTTGTTACTCTAAATTTATCGTTTTGATTTCAAATTAATTAGCTTTTGACTGTTATAAATGCTTATGTTTTTTTTTTTTTTTTGTTCGAGTTATTTCCTTTGATGACATAGAAAGCAAAATCCTTTTTAAAAATAAAAAATAAAAATTGTTGTCTATGTCCTTTATTAATTTCACTGTGCCATTGTCGTAATCAACCCATGCGTAACTTGTAAATTTTTATTCTTTAGTATATACGTAGTTTGCTGCATTTAGTACTGACAGGTGAGATTTTAAAAGATTTTATCAAATGATGGTGGAGTTATAATATACTCCCTCTACTCTTTTTAATAGTTCATTATTGACTTGACACTCTGTAACGACCCGGCCGGTTGTTTTAGGAATTAACGTCCCGTTCCCCTATTAACTGCATTCCTCGTATTTTTTTCTGCTATTGTGAGTTGCCGGGAGGATTCGTTTTGTGTTTCGGAGTGTTTTGGGACACTTAGTCCCTACATGAGAGTTTTAGCCTTAGAATTTGGACCGTAGTCGGAGCAGTATGAAGACGGCCTCGGAATGGAATTCTGTTGGTTCCGTTAGCTCCGTTGGGTGATTTCGGAGTTAGGGGCGTGTTCAGATTGTGTTATGGAGGTCCGTAGTTTAATTAGGCTTGAAATGCCTAAAGTCGAATTTTTGAAGTTTCCGGTTCGATAGTGACATTTTGATATCGGGGTCGGAATGGAATTCCAGAAGTTGGAGTAGGTCCGTTGTGTCATTTGGGACGTGTGTGCAAAATTTCAGGTAATTCGGATGAGGTTTGATAGACTTTTTGATCAAAAGCGGAAATTTGAAGTTTTGGAATCCTTAGGCTTGAATCCGAGGGTGTTTTGATGATTCGATGTTGTTTTGAGTGTTCCGAAGATCGGTACAAGTTTGAATAGTGGTATATGACCTGTTCGTATCTTTGGTTGAGGTCCCGGGGGCCTCGGGATGATTTCGGAAGGTTTCGGAAGAATTGGAAGTTGTTTCGAGAAGCTTCAGCAACTGATCTTCTGTCATAACCGCACCTGCGGTTGGGGACCGCAGGTGCGGAGCCGGAGAAGTGGCGTTGGCATCGCAGAAGCGGAAAAGAGGAGCGCCAGCAGGGACCGCAAAAGCAGGCGCTTCATCGCACAAGCGGCGCCGCATCTGCGGAAGGGAGGTCGCAGGTGCGTAAATCCTTGTATAATGAAAAGTCGAAGGTGCGACTTGGTCTGCGCAGAAGCGGGACCGAAGGTACGGTCCCAGAGCCGCAGATGCGGTTGCAATGGTCAGAAAAGGGGCAGAATCGAGGGTTAAGCTTCAAAACCTTAGAAATTGATTTGGGAGATGAGGATTGGCAATTTTGGAAGATATTTTCACCTGGGTGTTTTTGGTAAGTAATTCTTACTCGGTTTTGATTAATTTCCACAAATCTATGCTTAAATTCATCCTTTAAATTCGAATTTGGGGTGAAAATTTGGAGAAAAAATGGAAAAGTTCTTAGGCCTAATTTTGGAGTTTTGATCAAGATTTTGATGTCAGATTGGAGTAATTTTTGTATATATGAACTCGTGAGAATGTGAGGGTTCCGAATTCGTAAATTTTACCCGATTCCGAGACGTGGGCCCAGGAGGTTTTTGGGGTGATTTTCCTAATTTCGCGTATTAGCTTCGAATTAATTAGTTGAATTAGTTACTTGAAGTTATATTTACATTACGCAATTACTTTGCATAGATTTGGGCCATTTGGAGTCGGATACTCGTGGCAAGAACGTGGTATTGAGTTGATTGAGCTGGTTCGAGGTAAGTGGCTTGCCTCACCTTGTGTGGGGGAAACTCCCCTTGGGAATTGATACTGTGATATATGAAATGCCTTGTACGTAAGGTGAAGAGTGCATACATGTGCTAATTGTTGAAAATCCTGTTTTCATCAAGTAACTATAATTTCGTTTTCTTCCCTGTTTTTACCAGTTGTAATTTAAGCCTACTGTTAGCTTAGGAAAGCATGTCTAAGTGATTAACTGCTTTACTTGCCCAAACTGCCTTATTTGAATTCTGTGCAGCATGCTAGGCTAGAAATACCTGTTTTACCTTAGTATAAATTGATTGAACTGAATATTCTTCGTGTTGCTGCGTGTGTTTAATTTGGGACTACGGGCGATATCCCGGGAGATCCCACCTTGCCTGTTTTATTTGGGACTACGGATGTGTATTCTGGGAGAT